GTGAGGTGATAAAATTATACAGTGTATGTGTTTATTTTCTTCTAAGAGATTTAGTTCTCTGGGGGATACCTGCTGCAAGGTGCTGAACGAGAGGCCTCAACTATCACTGATTTCAATGGGAATGGAGGACACTTGGTACCTTGCAAGATCAAGCTTTTGCAGGGTTACCATTTAAAGAAAAAACAAAATCCAAAACTTACTTTAAAGTGTAAAATAAATTGTACTGTCTTGTGACAAATTTGTTCAGTTATGACAGTACTGAAATGTGAAACTGAGTGTTCAGTATTTACAATATATATGTAATATTGCATGTATTTTGATTAAGGTAATTAGTTATAAGCAAAATAAGATGCTTCAGAAAAACATTCACTTGTATAAGCTTAATTTTGAAAAAATTATGTAAAAGTGTGTGTGTGGGGGGAATATAGAAATATGTGCAAAAGTCATGTATAAAGCTCTCCTTAAGTGTGAAACATTTTTAAAAGTTTGTAATTTTGGGTGGAGGGCGGAGGAGGGAAGAAATAGCAAACGATTGGTCACAGTAATAAACTGAAGGCAATATACATACATTTCACATTTATAACTTAGATATATAAAGTAATACAAAATATATAGGCACATTATAAATAGTTATAAAAAGATGGGTAATACTCTTATTTGTTGGTATAATGTCCAATAAGTCATATCTGAAAAAAAGGGGTAGGAGAAATCATTAAATTTTCAATAATTTGAGATTATACAATTCTTCACATTGGTGACATGCTGTATTTGGCCAATCAGACACTACTGCAGTTAAGCCTATCAAGTTATAGTTTGTTGTAGTTTTCATCTTTTAAAAACACAATCCTGAAAGTGTATTGGGTGGAAGCACGTTTAATAATCCAATGTTTTAACTGGTCACCTAAGGCCTTTACTTCAATCAGCTCTGAGTTATGGATCAGGCCTTTATTCCACTTGTAGAAAGAATTCTTATAGAAATAACTGCTTTGCATCTAGGCTTCTTTAGGGATTGACTAATGCTCAATATTTTTCACACACACAAAAAAATATATAAAATTTGAACAAGCTGTATCCATCAGACTTTTGCCCATGTAAAAACAGGTTTTAGACTATTTCATGTTCCCACACTAATTCATAACTTTAAGTGTGTTTAGATTATACAACGTCTCTTATTCTCCCTATAGCAATCTTCAGATAATTTTTGCATATATTTTCTCCTTTTACTATGTGAATTTGTAAGTATATGAATATTAAATTTTGCAATACTTCTACCACATTCATTATGTATTTTTCTTTTTCAAGGAGGGTATGTTTATTAATATTCCCTATTATATGTGTCAATGTTTTTTTGGGAGGGGGGCAATTTAAGTCTGAAAGTATCCATCTTTCCCATAAAAGCACAATATATTAACATACTGAACCTCACCATGCAAGGATTTGAACAGGCTATCCAAGTCAAAAATTCTTCAAAAGGTCTGTCTATCTTAGGTACCTATAGTATCTTAGTGCTTCACACTCTAATGTAAAATGTACTTCACAGGGGTGTTGTGAGGGAAAGCACTATAATCCCCATTTTTTTTTTACAGATGGGGGACTGAGACACAGAGAGGATAAGTGACTTCCCCAACATCACATAGGCAGTCTATGGCAGAGCAGGAACGTGAACCCAGGTCTCCCCCAGTCCTAGGCCAGTACCCTAACCACTGGACTATCTTTTAGTGTTTAAAATAAAAACACATTTTTGTTCCACAACCCACTATGTTAGCACAGACAATAGGACGTAAATCTCCCTATCAGCAGACTGAGGAAAACAGCAAAGTATGCCCTTATTCCCTGTAAAGGAGTCTTGTTTCAATGACCCTGATCAGTTGTTTTACTGTTTGCATGCTACTCTTCTGAGTGATTAAGCTAGATTTTTAGCATTTACATTTTTCTTTTAAAAACTTCCCACCCAGTCGTCCTCATCTCTCAAGATTAGCTAGTTACAAATATATGGCTGTCATAGCAGGGTTTATTTTTTCTCCTCACATTCATTGGCGCCATTCCCGGGAAAGTTGTAGCTAAGGGCGAATGGGGGGATCCCTTCCAACAGCTAGTTGGATTCCTCCAAAGTCTGACTTTGCTAACCAGGCAAGTAACCTGCTCTGAGAGTCTAAAAGATTATGCTCCTGAAGGTAGGGATGTAGGGGCTATTTTGACTAGCCATAAAAAGGACACTCAAGTTTTTCCCAGTTATTGCTCTGGTCCAGGACATGTTGGGCATGGATTGGACTGCTCTCAACAAGAAACTGCAATCCCTTAGATCCTTCACGTGACTTTATGCCCTCTCAAGGGATAAGTCTGATGTAGTTCTCTTTGTCCCTAAAGCCTGGTCTACACTAACCCCCCAATTCGAACTAAGATACGCAACTTCAGCTACATGAATAACGTAGCTGAAGTTCGAAGTACCTTAGTTCGAACTTGCCTCGGTCCAGACGTGGCAGGCAGGCTCCCCCGTCGACTTCGTGGTACTCCTCTCGCCGAGCTGGAGTACCGCAGTCGACGGCGAGCACTTCTGGGTTCGACTTATCTCGTCCAGACAAGACGCGATAAGTCGAACCCAGAAGTTCGATTTGCTTGCCGCCGAACTACCAGGTAGTGTAGACCTACCCTAAGATTCTGACTTTCCTGTTATACCCCAAAACTCTCTTCTTGATGGCCACTTCCCAGTGCTTGTTGAATTGGCAGGACAAGCTACTCATATTAGAGTAACATACTAGAGTATTTTGGGTTCTCTGTGCTACATGGCTTATGTGGCCAGGATCTTGGTAAGATGATTACAGAAATTGGCATCTGAGGAAGATATTGAGGCTTGTTCCTTCTGTCAAGTAGCCTCTTTTTTTTTTTTTTACTTATTTGTGGTATTATGCAAGCTTTTTTCCAGGGTATGGCCATATCTGTTATCACCTTCCAGGTGCTGTGGCTGTGAACTTGAGCTGATGATCTTGCATCTAAAACTGCCTTTGTCTGTCTGTCTCTCTTTTGAGGGAAAACTTTTTGAAAATGGCCTAACACATATGAAATCTTCAAAGAAAAGCCTGACTTTATTAGTCGCATATCCAGATTTCAGGATCCCAAGCCCTACTGATCAAAGAGAAAATAGCCCTTTGTCTCCTTTCAGTACTCCTACTTCACTCAGTCTGATTATTTTAGGAACAAGAGAGGCCAACCCATCTCTAGTAAAATTTGGAGCTAGCCTGCATGTTTCTGCATTTTCTGGATTCTGTGATGGTGTGTTTGAACTCATTGCTGTCAGCATGTTTTATACAATACATGATCTCCCCAGCATTAACTATTCAGCTGTCATTACCTTGGTCCAAGTTTTCTCTGTCCAGCCTATCCTTGCCTCTGGAGCAGGAGTCCTCTTTTGTTCTGGTAGTTAAAGAATGAGAATGTCCACCAAGGGTCACCCTGAGTTGCCTCAATTACACAGGGCACACATCTCTCTGGGTGGTTTGGCCCCTTTTGACTGCAATATAGAGTGGGTCTTCTGGGTTCTGACAGAGTGGGCTATTCCAGTTAAACCCTTGTTTAGAATGCAGTTCACCTGGGACCTAAGACCTAGACATAACATATTCAAAGAGATGTTGCTTCATTTGCCTCTCCCAGCAGAATCAGGTGGGGAGGAAACCATCACCACAAGACTCCTGTCTGGTAGTAGGGACAACTTGTGACCAGATTTTCAGCTCTGGCAGCTTGAAGACGGTGCTCTCGCTTGTGGCCCTATAAATTGGAAGGTCAATTCTGTCTGCTGGGAGAGTGAGGGAGGATGGTCAGGATCTTTACTGCAGTGATCTTTGTCTGGACAAAATAGTGATTAAAGCTGTTCCCCATTTCCTCCCCAAGGTGGTTTCCCCATTCCTCTTGAGTCAAGAAAATTTTCTCTTCTCATTGTGTCCAGCCCCACAAAAATCAGAAAGTTCATACATCTGATGTGAGAATGGTTTACATATCTATCTCTGAATAATTGTAGAGCTTAGAAAGTAAGTCGCTAGCTGCCTTCAGAAAGCATATGCTCACTTTTTCCCTAACTACCCAGCTGCTCTCTTTTCTGGCATTGAACATTACTGTTGGTATTCCCACTAAGTGGGCTGGTATAGAGAGATATTGTAGAAAGAAATTATTCTTTCCTTTTTATTTTTTCCCTTCAAATTTCTATATTCCAACCCAGATACCTCACCATATTGTTGTGAATAACAGTTGAGAACTTTTTCTTGCCTGATTTTAAAATGTATTTCCTAAACAATACAGATTCTCTAAATGAGCAAGGTCAGCCAATCTAATTATAGGGAAATGATAGCATATGTTTTTCTTTTTTTCCTATCTTCATTTGCTGCTAGGAAAATGTGAATTTGTTATCTGCGCTGGTGTAAGAGACTTTGAGAAACCAAATTAACAGGTTAAAAAAAATCATCTTAGTCAGTCATCTGGTCTAATTTCTTTTTCCTATTATCATTTTCTGTAGGGGCTGCAATACTACTTCAGTACTGGGTGTTAATAGATAGCTTACATTCATATGGGGCCTTTATTCCCAAAAAAGTTACAAAAGCAAGGTAATATGTAACCGTGTACTTTGCGTTACCACTACAAAGCAGACACTTCTGAGATGTTTAACATAACATTACACAATGGTTTAGGACCAAAGGCTAAAAATATGCTCAGTTGAAACTTCAGTTATTAAATAGGTGGAATCCACTTTGTGTTTTCTAATAAAGACTGTGAAAGCTGAGAAGGAAACTATTTCAAGTTATTTGTAAGGAGGGAGTGTAGTGCAATACAGAAAACAAATGACTGGTATTTTTAAATAGCATTCTGGAGTTTAAGATCACGCCATGCTCTGTAGTGTTTTTTCGTCCCATTTTGGGCTAGACAGGATTTTAGTTCACAAATTACATAACTGAAAATTTTGTGAAATAGTTTTTCTCTGAAATCCCTAAATGAGCAACTTGTATTCCCAACAGGGCATGGGGCAGATGTGAAGTGTGTTGACTGGCATCCAACAAAGGGATTGGTTGTATCAGGAAGCAAAGACAGTCAACAGCCTATCAAGTTTTGGGATCCAAAAACTGGCCAGAGCCTTGCCACGCTGTAAGTTATGACCTGAGGTTTTGCTCAGGTCAGAAGGGGCAAAACTGCTTGGACTCTTGATTATTTTATTCTGTTTTCAGTTGCCCCCCTCTAGGACCAGGTCTCTTCAACCATACGTAACAGTTGCAATAGGGGCAGGCCGTCTAGTTGGGTCAGGAAATCTAGAGGGTAGACATAATTTGATCTGAAGACCTTTTTTATCCCTTCCTTGTGTAAGTTGTCTTTCCACTTGTTCACAAGCCTCATGTCACCAGAGTTCTCCTGAGCTACTGCTGGTACCTAGTTAAACTTATGCCTAATTAAACCAGCAGAAGTTACTATCCTCGCAGGGCCGGCTCCTGGCACCAGCGCAGCAAGCAGGTGCTTGGGACGGCCAACAGAAAGGGGCGGCACATATGGCTCTTCGGCAGCAATTTGGCTGTGGGTCCCTCAGTCCATCTCGGAGGGATGGACCTGCTGCTGAAGAATGAAGTGGCAGCAATAGAGCTGCCGCCGAAGTGCCCCTGATGGCGGCCTTTCCCCCCCCCCCCCCCCTCGCCGCTTGGGGCAGCAAAAACGCTGGAGCCGGCCCTGTATCCTTGAGTAATGAGCAACATGTCTCTGTGTGTACCTCCAGGTCCTATATGTACAGGGATCAAAAGGCCAACCTTAAAACATAGACCCAGGCCCTCTGTATAGAAGCACATAAGTTATTCTATTGGGAATGTGTGACTTCTAGCCAGTTAGTCTTTTTCTACCTCTACTTCCAGACATGCTCATAAAAACACAGTGATGGAGGTAAAGTTGAACCTGAATGGGAATTGGCTGCTTACAGCATCTCGTGACCATCTCTGCAAGCTCTTTGACATCCGAAACCTGAAAGAAGAGCTCCAAGTCTTCAGGGGTCACAAGAAAGAGGCCACAGGTCAGAATGAACTCCATTTCATACTACCGTTGTTATGAGTGAATTAGGATTAAAGGCACACATTTTCAAGGCTTTGAGGTACAGTTTAACATTCACCAGAGATTCCTGATTATTAATTTTTGCATTTCAGCTGTGGCCTGGCACCCTGTTCATGAAGGGCTTTTTGCCAGTGGAGGTTCCGATGGCTCTTTGTTGTTCTGGCATGTTGGGTAAGTACCTTTTTCATCAACATGGAGAAATTTAGTTCACGCAGTGTTAGATATCATCATAGTAAACATAATTTATATTGTCACCACTTGAATCTTTATTGTTATCTGAGAGTCCGAGAACAGCAGATTTAAATGAGTGAAAAATAACTGAGGTCTAAAATGAGCAATGTATAGAAAGCCATGAGCAACTGAGTAGCAAAATAAATGTATATTTTTTAAAAATCCCTTATACTGGGTTCTTCTGTGTGATGTTTCAGGGTGGAGAAGGAGGTTGGCGGAATGGAAATGGCCCATGAGGGAATGATCTGGAGTCTGGCTTGGCATCCTCTTGGACACATTCTCTGCTCAGGCTCAAATGACCATACCAGGTATTTTCAAGTATTTAAACAAATATTTCAGGGGCACATACAGTTTAAAAACTGGGAAAAAGCCTGAGATGGCTGGTTTGATAGCAGGAACAACCCAAATCTAAGAAAGCAGAGAGAGACTAAGGTGTTCTGTTTGGAAAAGCACTGACCCTTTTACAGCATAAGGTAGAATTAAAGTCTAGCCTCTCATTCCTCCTGGCAGAAACTTTAAAATGTGAGGGCCTACCAGACCTCCATGGTCACAAAAATATCATATGGAACTTTTGAGAGGTTTTTCTGTTGTCTTTGACAGAAAATATTTCTTCTTAAGGCTTTCTCAATACTTGCCCTATCCACTAGTCTTGTGCTAATCACCCTCCATCCCACAGGGGTGCTCTAAGCATATATTTTGTGATGTGCTTTAAATCTTGTAGGATGGAAACACTATAAATGGTGCAACAGTTATATTTTATAAGAAGAGTGAATCTGCACAGAAGTGCATGTCACAAGAACGAGAGCCCATCAGTACCTGCTAAGAATAGCAAGGGCTATTGAAGAGGACTGGGAGTATGGCAGTCTTGTGTCCAGTCTGTCAATACAGAGAGTTCTTCAGTTCTCACAGCAACTATCTGTTAAGTAAAAACAATGAGGAGTACTTGTGGCATCTGAGACACTAACAAATTTATTTGGGCATAAGCTTTTGTGGGCTAAAACCCACTTCATCAGATGCATGGAGTGGAAAATACAGTAGGAAGATATATACACAGTACATGAAAAGATGGGAGTTGCCTTACTAAGTCGGGGGCCAGTTCTACTGAGACAATTCAATTAAAGTGGGCTATTATCAACAGCAGGAAAAATCACTTTTGTAGTGGTAATCAGGGTGGCCCATTTCAAACAGTTGACAAAATGTTGTGAGTAACAGTAGGGAGAAATTAGCACGGAGAAATTAGTTTTTTGTAGTGACCCATCCACTCCCAGTCTTTATTCAGGTCTAATTTGATGGTGTCCAGTTTGCAAATTAATTCCAGTTCTGCAGTTTCTCGTTAGACACCCCCCCCCACACACACACACACACACGCACACTTGGTAAGGTACTCCCATCTTTTCATGTACTGTGTATATATATCTCCCTACTGTATTTTCCACTCTGTGCATCTGATGAAGTGGGTTTTAACCCACAAAAGCTTATGCCCAAATAAATTTGTTAGTGTCTCAGATGCCACAAGTACTCCTCATTGTTTTTACTTAACAGATAGTTGCTGTGAGAACTGAAGAACTCTCTGTATTGACAGACTGGACACAAGAAGGCCATACTCCCAGTCCTCTTCAATAGCCCTTGCTATTCTTAGCAGGTACTGATGGGCTCTCGTTCTTGTGACATGCACTTCTGTGCAGATTCACTCTTCTTATAAAATATAACTG